TGAACGATCATTTAACTGGCGAAAACAGCCGTCAATGCTTCGAAACTCTTAGAGAAATCCATCATCGGGGTAACCCAAACTAAGACTGAATTCAATGGAGATTGAAAAACTGCGGTTAAAGCATAGCTTGCCTATAAGAGTCCTACAACACATTCTAAACGTTGGCCAGCATTTTCGTGTACGACATTACGCATTCAGTTGTACGACACGACCATCTCCTAGAGACCAATATTTGACACTCTACTTACTATAACCTTAGAGTAGCTGTTCTAAACGAGAAACAAAACACATGAAAATTTCAACAATTGTGTTTTATTTTATAGGAAAATAGTATAATTATTATGTAACCCTACTTTTTACACGGACTAGTTTGGTTGATATACACTTTTATCACTCACGGTTTGGCTTTTACACTTCCTACCGCAAAAATCGCCTTTTGAGTAAGTTTTTGAGATGTGGCACATCAGATGGAGAGAACCGTTGAGAATATTTTCCAAAATAGCCAAATGACGCCTCCGATGAGCAAAAACTTGAGCAATTGATGAACTATGAAAAACCTGGAACATTAGAGTACACATTTAGTACTAACTTATGTATAGTTATACTGTAGTTAGGATACTATAGTCTTATGATAGTGTAGAAAATTAGATGTTTACTTTTGAAATAATAATGAAGCAAAACGTTATATAAAAAAGTATTACGTCTTAGCAGTTTACGTCGATGCTATCATCCAGATATAATACTATTTGATTTATTTACACCTATTATTCCACTACACCAAGTCCGGCTTTTCGAAATCGATTGACATTGTAACAAAGTTTATATGTTAGTTAACCACCATATAAAAACGTACAGTAAAGTTGTAACTATATGGACTCCTTAATCGAATAGTGTTGAAGGACCACCTAATTTTATTCAGAGAACATTATTTGTTTGACAGAAAAGGTATGGGTGAAACTGGACGATAGATTGGATAGGGAAGATCAAATTAAAACCCAGGAGGGGTCACTGGCTCACGATCTCTTCGTCCTCAGACGGATGATTGACTACAGCCCTTGACTAAATTGGTATTTTTGGCTTGATAGAACAAAACATTGCCTGTTCAGTGTTCAATAATGTTCTGGGGTATTTTTAGAGCCTACATTTCCCAGAATATTATCTGGCAGAAAGCAATTAGAACGATTCTTTGCATTTCTTCTCTATGAAATCTGTAAAAGTACTTTAAAACAACTTGGCATTCTTACAATTGTCCTCACTCTTTAGCAGTCATTTTTTAATCTTTTGTTGAATTTCGTATCTTTTTGTTTGACAAGCCATGGCTAAAATATCCAGAAAAAGATTCACATGAAGATCAACATAAGCTTATATTTAGATGAAGCTATTTCAGGCCTCTCAGAATTTAAGACAGATACAATAGTATCTGGTAAAGTCAAGTTTCTGTTACTGACAACTACCTGAATAAGTGGCTAAATTATAGTTTATATAATGAATCCTGTCTCTTGGCCCTCCATCTATCTCGGTACTTTTATCCCAGGCAGACAGAGGGTCAGGAGACAGGTTTCATCATACAGACTATAGAGTTAAGTTCTTTGATCAACCCTAATATACCTTGGCTCAAGGGATCGAAGGTGTATCATGTTTGCATTTTTGTATGCACTATAATATACATCATAAATCATACAATATATTGTTTGTCTCTTTATTATTGTTGATGGTATTTTATTTGAATTTTATTATTAACGATTCTTAATTTATTTTCTGACATAAAAATGTCTAATAATACAATATGTCTAATAATAAATGTCTAGACGCTTAAGGTAATTTCATTCGTACTGTCTTAACTCTTATCACACGTCAGCTGGAGTCGGAATCATGCCGTTTCACTGCTACACTCAGTTTTTTCAATAGCTTATCTCAACATCCAAGTTACCCTTATCTATGCTTATATTTCAATCGTAAAATTACAATCCTGAGTAATTGGGTAACAATAACAACAAACTAGGCCTACTCAGGTACGAAGCAATGAACCTACACTATACTATAATACTATACAAGAGTCTTTATGGACAACAATATAATACGAAATAAATGTACCTTGAGGCTTGTACTGAAATACCAAAACACAATACTTTAGAGAAAAGCGTGACCAAAAAATTAATTAATAAATCAAGCAGAGCTCTGGTTTTATTACTTTCTGCATGATTCTAAAATTGAGCAGAGCCAAACAAATCAAAGAACACAACTACGTAGGACAGTATTAAGTACATCCATACCCTTCACATATATACAACAAATACAACTAAGTCCAAAATTATTCTAGTTAAAAAAATTCTTAGGTGAAACTGAAGGTATAAAAACAACAGTTACAAAAAGCAACTGCTTTATAATTTAGTTTAAAACAAACTAAAACTTCTTACATGAATTGTTTCCTCTTTGCAGCTGGAAGAGTATCGGGCTTGTCCTTGAAGAAATTGCATCGAAGGCCAGTGATGGTGTTCTTCAAGAAGTCATCCCAGTCCAACGCGGAGATGTCGAAATTGAAGATTTCTTTGTCTTGAGGATCTAAGCTATCCCAGAGTCTAATCATTCGGTCGTTGTGGAACAGCCATTGCCTCTTACTGAAGTAGGTGATGACTTTGGTAAACTTATGAACCTTCTTGTAAACCGACCATAACCTGAAAAAATCAAGTGTATTTGTAATGAAATCTGTGATTTGAAATAAACAGTTGCTAGGATGGTGAACGAACTAGATTTTTAACTTTGGACAAAAATCTAGTTCGTCTTTTATATTGGGTTTTCCATCCTATAACACTCATCATTAAAACATTAAAGAGTAAAAAAAATCAAATGCCAATACAAAGGAGTTAATGCTAAAAGTTACACGTCTCCTTTTTTGTGTCTTTTTCTGTAAACTTTTTAATTATATATTATTTATTTATTTATTATTTTATACAGGGTGTCACAAAAAAGTGTGATGGGCTATACAGGACCTAATTCTACATGCAAAAATAAGTCAAAAATAGAGAATAAATTGTTTTGGATTTCGGCTTAGTTTAGCCGTAATCCACCATTTTGTTTTTTGGGGAAAATATTTATTATTTCAAAATCCCTTTGAGATATTTTTACGAAACTTGGCAAAATTGTTTACACTATAGTAAGTAACATTTATAAAAAAAATTATTATTTTAACTTTCCAAATTTCAAAATGGCGGCCGTTTGAATTTTTAATGCTAAATTTCATGAAAACCGGTAACTAAATCAAAATTTCGTAAGACACAAAAGTTTTAGTATTTATTATGACAAATCCAACAAAACAAAAATGAATAAAATCGGTTCATAAATAAAGAAGCTGTGTTTATTTTAGTAATTTAGACTGAAATTATTAATTATAAAATGTATTAAATGTAATGTAATAATTTATGTAACGTATTAAGTAATTTCAGTCTAAATTACTAAAATAAACACAGCTTCTTTATTTATGAACCGATTTTATTCACTTTTGTTTTGTTGGATTTGTCATAATAAATATTAAAACTTTTGTGTCTTACAAACTTTTGTGTCTTACAAAATTTTAATTTAGTTACCGGTTTTCATGAAATTTGGCATTAAAAATTCAAACGGCCGCCATTTTGAAATTTGGAAAGTTAAAATAATAATTTTTTTATAAATGTTACTTACTATAGTGTAAACAATTTTGCCAAGTTTCGTAAAAATATCTCAAAGGGATTTTGAAATAATAAATATTTTCCCCAAAAAACAAAATGGCGGATTACGGCTAAGCTAAGCCGAAATCCAAAAATTTTATTCTTCATTTTTGACTTATTTTTGCATGTAGAATTAGGTCCTGTATAGCCCATCACACTTTTTTGTGACACCCTGTATTATATATGAGTATTGTTTTTTTGGCAAATAAAATTAATTCAATGAAAATTAAATCAAAATTAGATACGTTACATTTTGGCTTCATCATTTAATTCGTCTCTATGGATCACTTTGAGTACATTATGACTACTCTCAAAAATCCAATTTACATGACGATTCCCACATTACCCATTAAAATATATTGTCGATTATTTCCATCTATATTTGTGACTAGAGAAGACTAGAGTTTATTTCAATCATATTATATTGCTCTTTTTTAAATACGTGAACTAGTTTTTCCCCGTGGTTAGGTGAACTTACAACAAACTAATAGCTGTTAAGGAGTGGATGGGCTTATGTGGAACCATGGATAGGGATGGATTATAAACAAAAATAAATGACTTCACTTTTCTGAATACACAACAAACAATTAAATATCTGACTTGGATGTTTTTTGGCAATTCAATTTAAATATCAATACAAACATGTTTACTTTTGGGCCAGTGCCATAATTTGTTTACGTAATGATTCTTACGGTTTTACATTCTAATATTCATGGGCGAAACATAAAAATATCAATATCAGTTTGTGTTCACTACCTGTCATGTTGTTGTGGTTTATGTGGTTTGGTGTGTTTGGCAGGTTGATGAAGGGTGTACTGGGGACTAAAATTCGTGAAGTAAAAGTCAAAGAACTTCCATAGCATTTGGACATTTGGTAATGGTGAAGGTATTTCAGGTGTTTGGGAAGAGAATGAAGGTACAGAGTGGGTAGTTCAAGCCAATGTTCAAGATCTATCTGCATCCAAATTCTTTTCAATGCTTAAATGGTTAATTATGACAATTCTTACTTCGGCTTTTTCCCAGTGACGACAAGGAACATGTCTATGCAGAGAGCCGGTATCAGGTGAAGTAGCCACTGGTACATCAGGTAGAGAAGGTGCACTTTGGTGGTTGATATGGTGTACCACCAGATAGCTTTGACTGTTGGGTTGTCCCTACCATGGCGCAGTGCCACCTCTATGAACTGACCCCAGTAGATTGGGTTTTGACAGGACGACACATAGTTGTACACACGCATTTCTTTCGTGTCCCTAGATCAGAGTTTAGAAGCAACAATGATATATTTACCATACAGATTGAAAAGCACGTCTATTTTGTGTAATTTTGACAGAATATTGAGTAATATAGAAAAATGAAACTAGATTAACCTAATTCGTCAATGCATGCACTACCGTAGAACAGATCTTCTTCTGACATTTTTAAAACTGGATATTAAATGAAATAAAAACTAATTCGTTTAAGCATTTGGCAGGGCGTGCTGTCAAACACCTTTTTTCTTTCTTTTCGATCAAGCTCAATTTGAATATTAACTTTTATAAATGGAAGTATTTGATAGTTCACATCAGTCATTATTTTATTAAAAACTAAGAGAATATATCAAATTAATGAAATAGTGAATGTCAAATAGTACTAAGAGCTTTCCTTTTCTCAGTAAAGCTAGATCATTTAAGTAGGATGCCTAATTCAAATCTTTAAACCAATCAAGAATTATTCTACTATGAATGTTATAAGAATCAGTTGAAACACAAGACAAGTTCTGGTCAACCAGATCCATTTTTAGAAAGTACGCATTGGAACGAGATGATAAGCTATTTCTGGAATAGCCTGTGACATTGAATCCCACGAGGTTTCCTTTGGTTACCTGACGTCCCAGGCTGATGCGATGATGGCATTGACAGCCATGTCCACGGGCACCAGGTCAGCCGCACATTTTTCATTGACTTCGAAAGTTCGTAACAACCCAGCACCAACCCCGCACTGTACACCGGTGGGACCATACATGTTGTCTATCCAACCGTAGATTGGTTCTCGGGCAGTTGCCACCACTGCAACATTACCATCATAGATGACACCATCTGAATCTTCTTCAACAGCTTGAAACACTTCCAGATAATTTACTCCATGTATATCATCTACATAATGTACAGACTCTTCAGTATCTACAGAACATGCAGAATCTTTAGAATATGCAAAATCTTCAGATACTGCATAATCTCTAGAATCTGCATAATGTTCTGTACCCTGTACATAGTCTACATGTTTTACACCTTCTACAGAACAAGGATCTTTTAAAAGGTCTCTCTTAGTTTAGAAACCACCATTTTCTTTGGTAATATTAGATCATTACATTTCACTAAATTACTTCCTGATCAACATTCTATGTATTATTAAATTTACGGAAAGTAAATAAAAGATAGATCTAATAACACTTAAAACATATATTTAAGCCTAACGTGTCATTAGCCAATTGTGTCTGATGATCCAATCGAAATCGATCACCACTTACCATTGTTTATGTATATATACCGTATTGTGAGTTATCAGTATAAGTACATATATGTTTAAACTATTATTATACTATCTTTTATTAACTTTCCATATTACTTTTTCCCAAAATGTAACAGGTGACTTCCATACTATATGAAAATAAACATCGTACACCAATTTATTATTTTACGATCTACAAACACTGGGAGTTTGGCTCTCAAAAACTAATCTCAATACTAAAAACCAAGCGGGATTTGTTAATGAAAAATAGTTTATTATTAACGGGTTTACGGTGTTTTAGTAGCTGTAGTCTGTTCATTAGGATAGAGGGAACCAATAAAGTGAATTATTACACAAACGAGAAAATGTTGAAAACCACAAATATTTTGAATAGTCAAATGAGTGTGACCACAACCCTAATATTTGTTTTTACCGGAAGGTGATGGACGTTTTTTAAGAGGTTGGTGGACCTGGGTCACAGATCAAGGTCGCACTAGATATACCACTAGGTATATCTAGTGCAGACTTGCACAGATGCCTTTGTGTGGCAAAGCAAGGTGTGAGCCGGTACAGCACAGGGGTTAACTGTGCCACAGAGAAGTAAGGTACAGAGGAAACATTCAATGGTACACCACAGAGAAGTAATATCGCTGGTGTCTAGGGCAAAGTACAATACTGCCCCCTCGCCTTTATGTACTGCTCACTGTGGAGGAGGACTCTGTCCCTGTTCGATAATGAATTTCCGCACAGTGTTCACCACTCGGGCTCTTTCTTGATCATCACAAGTATGTTTCCGGCACAACTTAACTAGAGATGAAAGCGCACGGTATTCCTCTGTAGCTTACTTCTCTGTCTTTATATTGATAAAAAGTAGTGACATGGATCCAAACCCACGACATTCGCTGCCTTGGGCCCGAAGTCCGTGCCGCTACCGACTGAGCCATCGACTCACCAGTATCTGAGTGTGGTAGCCTAATTTAGCTTTTCCAACCGATACTAAACTTTTATAAAAATCATACAATTCAACTTACCAATGGATGGGCGGAAGACAACTGCTGGCAGACCCTTACCATAAACGTTGATGACATTTTCAGCTATGGCCTTGGTAAAAGCGTATGTGTTCGGATATTCGCCACATAGCCTGAAATGAAACAATAATTTTCTTAAATACATAGCACACAATAACCTAACTTTTTATGTTCAAGCTTAAAACAAAATATTTAACACAAATAATATATGTCATAGACCAACATAAATTGGTCCTCGCAGTTTTTTTAGCCATCCTTGTTTGCAGATACAAACGAGTATACATATATTTAATGTACGAACTTGCCGAATTGGTATTATGGATTCGGAGTTTTAAGTCTGAGAAGTAGACAACAACATCTGGCTCACTTGCTCTGTTGTAAAATATGGGAAGAAAATTATCAGAATTTGTTTGCAGATTCATTCCTCAAGATGTCGTTCAGATCTGACTCATGGATAGTAGAATTTGTAAAATTGATCTGGGGATAGGGGAAACTAAAATTTGACCATAAAGTAGGGGTTGTGCTAAATTAGATTAGTCAGGTAAGATTGATACGTACAAAGCAATGCTTCTTTGGAGAGAGATTCTTCAGATTCCTTCTTGAAAAGATTGAAGTAAAATAATAGTAAAATGTAAACGAGGTACCAGTAACGTTTAAGTTTATAAAAAGAATAACAGGTAAAAAGTAGTTGTGGAGGACAACAATTGGATCGCCAGAATCAGGTATTTAAACCACTACTGTTATTTATATAAAGAATCCAAATAAAAAATAGATCTTTTTAAAGAAAATTGTAAACAATCACTTGTGCAATGCTAGGTACGATTTTACGCTAATGCTATTCCTCTTTCAATGTTTACTAATGTCGTTTGTCAAGACTTATTCGTATGTTGTTGAAAATTTTAAGGGTAGCTTATGACTTATTATTTGATGAATAGATTGTTTTGGTAAAGTGTTCCAGTGTGTAATTTAATTTGTCAACTCTTACATTGATGAGCATGGAGTACCTTGTCATTGACATGATAGAACAAGCAATTTGTATTGTTAACGTTAACGGTTTATCCGTTGAAGACTTACGTCGTTGAGATTTCCGAAAGCTGCTTCTCCGTGAGGCACTCAGACAAACTGATGGCTTTGTCTCCACTGATCGGAGGCTCAAAGAAATCTTCCTCTATTTCGTTTTGTGTGCAGTTTGCATAAGCAGTTGATATGTGGACGAATGCCTAAAACATCCAAGCATCAGTCTAACTACCTTTTTATTCGTAGATATTAAATAATACTTTAAGAGAGATTTAAAGAAAAAAATAAAAGGTTCAGCTGTTAAAGAGTTCTAACAAATATTTTCTGGTTCTAAATTGAACCCATTGATTATACAAAATTATCTACTTGGTTAATGCCCAATGAATCATATAATCTTCAGTTTAGTAATTCAAAGAAAATATTTAAAAACTAAACTCAAAAAAACTTCAATTCGTTTTGTGTTTAGTGATATTTTTTAACAACCTCAGTTACCAAAAATATAAATAGTCTCTATTCACTACATCAATTAAGTCAAATCAGCCATGGCTACATAATTAAGCAATGAAGTCTTTAAATGTAAGGTTTTCCGTGATTAAATTGTGAGTGTTCGTGTTTTTGTGAGGTTTTAAAACTGTATAACCACAGTCTGATTATTTAAAAGAGACTAATAGTTTTATAGTTTTCACTGTAAATATATGTTGCAAGTGATCATAAATTAACAACTTACGAACATAAAATAACTCTCCTTCTTTTGCATCTTTTCCTAGACTTCTTCCTCTGCCCAGTAAAGTAAAATTAATTCTTAAACTGAAATCATTATTTATGGTGCCTGTAAGGTTCGTGTGGTGACTGCCTTCCTTGTTAAATTCTCTAGTACATTTAATTTATCCTTTGATAGGATGTGCATGCAACAAAAATAAGTTGAATCTGCGAAAGCATAGTCAAAATTCTATGATGGCTAAATATAGACGGATTAGACTAGATCCGTCTCATTCAAGCATAAGCATGAAAATCATTTGGAAGAGGTTTTGGATAATCTGTGAGACATTTTGAATATAATTTACCTTGAGCCTAGGACACTCTCTCGCCAGCTCAATGACGAATTTCGTTCCCCGGACGTTCGTGGCAATGGCTTGACTCAGGGCCTCGTCAAACCTAAGTGGCAGGGATCAAGGAATTTCTACAAATTAAACTGAAAATTACTCAAAATTGGATTTGCAGGACCATTTAACCTTGTTGCAATTCCAAAACGGATGGTTGTTACTCAATCACAAATATTTATGAGTATGGAATCTAACGGAGGTAACGGGTGTACTCTTTCATACCATACCTAGGCTAAATATCTAAAGTTTTTGGAAGTAAAACTACAGATTCCCCCCCCCCCATTTAATTCCAAATTACGTAGGCAACTTTAATTAAAATTGCCTTCAAAAAAGCTTATTATTGGATTTTTACACATTTGTCTAATATATTTGTACGAAACTGGTGTATTCAAACGCGAGCAACCCCTTCCTACAAAAACAGTGAACATATAAAATAATCAGCAAAATGTATGTGTATGGAAGTTTGCAAAGTAAATAAACTGTAGGCCTATCAGCAAAACCGCCACATTCTTTTTTTTCAATTAGCTTGCTAACATCCCTTTTAATAGGTGGAAAATTAAAAACACAAACTTGGAATTATTGAATAAAAATTACTTTTTCCATATCCTATGTTTATAGCTCTTTAGGAGACGGGAAACAAGTGAAATTCATAGAAATAGATTTTCTTTGATAAAAAGCAAGACCAAGGTAAAATATGTATTTACGATATAGCAAGGTAAAAGCAATGCTGCAACACTTAGAGCCACACATACAGTTACATTTCAAAACTTGTCATAATAATAATAAAATAATCCCAAAATAAAAGGTTAAATTAACTGGTTTAATGGCGGAAAATAATAATGGGTTTTTCATCTCTTTAAGAAGCTTGGATTGTGAATCATTTTAAAACCTCCATACTTTACAGACATACATGCTTTTTGTTACCATTTCTTGCTATTGAAGTGTTGTTGCCATCCCCAAACGCAACAAAACAAAGCCTAACAAAATATTTGCAATATTATCAAATATCGTAGATAGGCTACAAAGATGGGGCCAACAAACCCAAACAATGAAAATGGTAATTTTGACAATCTAGTCAACAATGATCACTTGCCATTCAAGGTTTTTAACCTTTGTGAATCAAACTTTTCTTGCAGTGTCTCCATCATACGTTTTCATTTCTTTTATTAGAGATTAAAACCGTTAAGTTCGTAGAAAACGTAATCCGAAAATGTATGTATTTCGGCTCGTATATATTTAGATAAGTATTAAAGTGATCTACCTAATGTAAAAACCCCATGTATCGCGTGGTTCGTACTTTGATAAGATAATGTGATTCCGAATGGAGGCTAAAAATCTTATTTTATCAACATAAGCTGTTTTTTTAAACTAATATTGTTATGTTTTAGGTACTTTCCCTTCTGGTGACAGCATCAGAGTCCAGATCTTGAAACTTCGTGAACACCTTTTTCTGATAATCGTGATAGAAAATTTCCGAAATATTCAATAAAAAAAATATCATAACCAAGAATGGACTACAAACAGAGTAACCAAATACTATCCAAACAGTTTCACAAGTAGTATGATATCTTTGACATATATGCATTGTTTCAACACATACAAAAGTAAGATGTATATTTAAAATATAAATACAGGGTGGAAAAGGGTCCCGGGATGGTTAAATAGTTCAAAAATTAATAAAGATAGAGCTTCGAAACTTGCTACACAGTTACTGGGCATTAAAATAATGTTTACACTTTATTCAGTGATACACTACATCCTCAGGGGGACGACCCTCTAGGAGTCAGAAGAAAATCTTCTGTAATATTATCTACGCTTACAATTAATATTTACTTCTGACTCCTATTGGGTCGTTCCCCTGAAAATGTAGCACCTAACTGAATAATAAGTTAAAATTATTCCAATGCCCGGTAACCGTGTACCAAGTTTATAAGCTCTATGTTTATTGTTTTTTGAAATATTTAACCATCCGGGATTTTTTCACCCTGTATAGAGCAACGATATAGAGGTTAAGTGATAGAGAACGTAGTAATCCTAACTCTGCCTTTTGGATAAGGTAATTTTAAATATAGGCCTAGTTTATTTTTACTTCGCTTATATATTACCTGACCGTTGCTGCACTGTGGAAGACGATCTCCACCTCTTCTCTTAGTAGTTTGGCATCTTTAGGTGACAGCCCTAAACCAAGGGCTGAAGTATCGCCTTCCACAGCTATAACCCGTCTCCGAATGTCTTTGTCTTTCAGTTTCGAGAAGATCTGTAAAAGAGCGAGAATATCAGTGTAGCATAGTCTCGACTATCCAGCTCTGCCGTGGGTCGGATAAGCGGGAAGTTCGGATTTTAGACCGGTAGTTGAGTGGTTATAGTGCTCGCCTTCAAATCTGGAATTTACTGGTTTGATCCCAAGATGAATTAGATTATACCAAGACGCCATTTGCCATTTGACTATCATTTAGATGCTATCTAACTAAAAGTTAGATACCAACAAGACCATTAAAAATAGAACTAGTAAAAACACAATATAGAATAAAGGAAAATGAAAGTAACCAAAAACATTGTAAAATGTTTACCGTCATCAAAATTTAATAGTTTATTCGTTTTGAAACCTGCTCAAGGCGTGAAGTTTGTTTTACATTGACAACATTATTACTTATCATTAAAATCAAAATTAACCGAAACAACTTACTATGTTTTCTGAAAATAAAATATCCACTATCGATACTTTCGTTAGTTTTAGATTATGCTGGTGCGATAAGTCAAGGTTGTCCATGGATGAATGATTAAATGATACTCACCCCACAGGACAAACCTTTCACTCTACAGCTGAAAATAAGTTGGGTACTCATTAGAAATTAAGTACTCATTCGGCAAGTTCAGCCTACTGAAATTGTCTCTGAGATAAACTCTTAAGTATATTTATATTAAATATGAATATGTGTATGTAAAGTGACAAAATGATTTAAGTGTTAAAACTTTAAGAACTTTAAGAATGTATTTTATAGTTTTGCAATCTACCAACTTTCCTTCTATCGATACTGGTTAATTTTGTTATACACTGAAACTGACAATATAGGATCTAACCTAACATTAGACATGAATGAACCTCTCACTGATTGTGCTACAGACTTAATTATATTTTCTCCCTTAGTACTGTTACTGTGACTACCGATGTGAAAAAAAAAACTATAGTTTACTAAAAGTTTTTTTTTCAGTTAGCCCAGGGCCGATTTAATAAATGGGTCCGGTGGGCCTGGGCCCAGGGGCGCAACGAGTTGCAGGGTTTGTTGGTACAAGAAAGACTGTCCTCTAAAAGGAAGGTGGTGGAGGGCACAATCATGTCTTGGGACCATATCGCGTCATATACTAACCACGATAAAGTGGGTGTATTTGATGGAAATCAGTAGTTTACGTAAGTGAACTCCTTATATGGTTCAACTCAACTAGCCTAGGTTAATTTTAGTTATAAAACTGTAGACAACTTTACATTGGGAATGAAATGTCTAGTTATATCCAAAGTCAAAGCGAAGACTTACCGCATCCTGTAAGAGCTCGGAGAATCTCTGCTGTACTGACTTCCCCTTCTTCGGCCGCACCAGGAGATATATTACGGCCACTGAGGTGCTTCGAAGGAGTTTCTCCACCAGGACTTTCCCCATGAACCCCGTGCCTCCTGTGACCAACACGGTCCGTCCATCGTACCATCTCTGGACCGGCGACCCCTCACCGACCCCTTGGTCTAGGATGTTCATTGGAGGGTCAACTCTGCAACAAAAGCAAAGGTTCTGTATCTCCAGAACGGCAATTCATCAAAATAAACATCGCAGGTCAATAAAGGATTTGAAGAACAAAAATAATTTTACTATCAACTGTTTCTCAAATTATCACCAACTGCCTTTTTATGGATTTAGACACAATTCCAATCATCCCTCATTATTTCATTTTATCTATTTATCCATGGGACGAGTTACAGATGTTATCTTCAGTATTTAACTGGTGGTAGGTGATTTTTAAAGCTAGTAAAATACCATATACAGGGTGGCTGAAAAGTGACTTGCACCCCCCACCCCTTAACCTTCAAACCATTTCAGATATTTAAAATCGGTGAACGGCAACCATCTTAGATGTGAGGAGCTAAAATAATGATGAATAATTTAGAAAAATTTGTTCTTAGGCAGTGGTGGTAGTGGGTAGCTCAAAATGTTCAAATATGTAGTATAGTCAACGTTCATATAAATTAATAGGTTTTTCCAAAACCAAACAATTGGCATAAAGGAAAAAAATCGGACCAATAATAACAAAATGGTAACTAAAAATGTGTGAAGATTTTGAGCTAACCCCTACCCACACTACCCCTAAGGGCACAATGTCCAAAATTATTCATTATCATTGTTGCCTCTCATATCTAAGAAGGTTACCGCAAGCTGATTTCAAATGGTTAAAAAGGTAAGGGGGGGGGGAGTAAGTTACTTTTCAGCCACCATGTATGTGTTAGTAACAGATTTTTTTTTTTAGTGTGCTGGAAATAGATTATTTTCACGCCAGATTGATGAAATATAATTCAGGTCTATAGGATGAGTTGGAGAGATTGTCTTTAATATTTCTAGGGCGATATGTCATGTTTAAGGCTATTAAAATAACAACTATGTTTTAGTAACAGATTGTTTTAAGTGTACTTCAAATAGATTATGTTTATGCCAGGCTGATGATGCGTAATGCATAAATGTTAGGTTGATCAAATCAAATAATTACGTGAAGTTAGTGACAGATTACGTTTAGGGTGTTTTGCTAACAAGGGTGGTCCCAGGGGGGATCAGGGGGGTCGTTAAAAAACTTTTTTAGACTTTTTTTATTTAGATAAACTATTATACCAATAGGGGAACTTTAATAATTTTTATTGCAAATCGTTCTACCAAATTCATTGTAGTCTTAACACTTGTGGCGAACGAAAGGACTAATTACAAACTCGGCATCGTTTGAGTCCGACTATTTTTTGTACGTCATAACTTTTCATAAAAAGTAAGGAAGATCGGCAGACGACGGACGCTTTCAGCCTTGTATGGCAACGGCAGTCGGCAGTGTCCGATGCTGGCGTTCGACGTTCGGCCGCATTCTTCTTCTTATTTAATTTTTCGGCATTTAATGTTATCATTCCATTTAACCTAGATGATTGAAAACTTAAATTGGGTTTTGGATAAAGAAAAGAAGTTGTATCAATAGTCTAAGCTTGAAAGGTAGTTGAATATTTATTTATCTGGGTTCAGCATTAGGAATTTGTAATTACAGTAATGTAATCAATGATTACCGTAACAAATTTTAAAACTTTCAATATTATTCATATTTAGAGTACCTGATAAATAAAGCATCAGGTTTGGGTTGTGGTCATTTAAGAATACCACAACCCAATTGGTATGCTGCTAGCCACGAAACAACAACAAAAGGGTAGTGTCTCAGACTTAGATGCGGGAGGGACGGATTTAATGTCCCGCACAACCACAAAAACTTTGCACAAAAACTTTATTCTCGCGTTAACCCCTTGTAAAATGTCACTGGCGTGCAAAAAATATTCTCCAGTCGGTAGCAGTGACAGGACGCCGACGGCAACGATGGGTAGTGTACCTTTTGTAGGTAAACTGTTGCTTACTGGGCAGGTATAATTCAGTCGTGTTGGGTGCAATTTCTTAAACACTTCTTAGATAAAATAAGTTTTCTGGTTCAAAATTCTTGGTCTGATTTTGGACATTTTCTTTTTAGCATGCACATCGGCACCAGTTGAAAGGGTAATTTCGTTAATCAATAATGCTTAAATGTGTTGTAATGTTGCGATATTTCTTCGTTATTAAAACCACAAGTCTCAATAGTGCAAAAATATGATACTATACAAGTTTATTTTTAACAATTTCTTTGATCATTAAATAACCTGGGGACATTAAGCTTGGTCCTCAAAATAGCTTAAAAACACTAATGTTAGCAAGTTATTTCAACATTTTCCTCGAGGGGGACCCCCGGACCCCCCGGTGACCCCCTCAAGGTCTATGTCTAGGACCGCCCTTGTTTGCTAATTGGTTATGCTCACATATGCCGAGTTTATCCATGCAATTCTAGATCGTTTCTACAAATGCCATACAACGAAGGGCTTCCGGGTATTCAGATTTGTCTGATTTACATATTCTGCATTGTGTAACTTCTCTTACTCACAGTGCATCGTATACTTTACAAAATTCAACCAGCATTGATTCAAACTGTTTCGCCTAAATTATTTTTCTTATGGACGGATTTACATTTATTTACAAATATTTTTTCTTTGATCTATTTCTGGTGTTTGCAAAATTCAAATGAATGCTGACAACTAACCAAACTTGTATGGAATGGAGGGTTTACCCAATATCTATGTTAAAATGTTGATATCTGTGTTCTTCAGTTCAGCGCAAAAACATGTCAGTATGATTGTGAATTACTAGTTTACAATTGGTTCTTTAATAAAAGAAGTATGCAAAGCATGTGCATTAAGTGGTCAATTTGTCAGGAGATTAGGATTATCAACTCGTTATGTATATGTCTTGCTTCCAAGTTGAATAGAAATAACCTTCTTAAATATTTATTTAGTAGTATTACCAAGATTTTTTATTTATTTCAACTTCCAAAACCACTGCTGAACATTGTGAATGTTGTTTTCTTCAAGCGTATTGTTATTATTGGATCACGACTTTAGGTTGCTGCTACTGAGTTTAAGAGGACAATTCTCTCAAAAGGTGGTGGCAATGACAATGTCTGCTATTTGATGGAAATACCATGAAACTAGAGTAATAGTCACCATTTTAGGCCTTTTGATCACTATGTGACTAGGATAATAGCTGGAACTAGGCTCTGTCCTCACTATAATACTTGAACAATAGCTGAAACTAGGCTCTGTCCTCACTATAATACTAGAACAATGGCTGGAACTAGGCTCTGTCCTCACTATAATACTAGAACAATAGCTGGAACTAGGCTCTGTCCTCACTATAATACTAGAACAATAGCTGGAACTAGGCGCTGTCCTCACTATAAAACTAGACCAATCGCTGGAATTAGGCTCTGTCCCTCCTGCAAAGCTAGAACAATAGCTGGAACTAGGCTCTGTCCTCACTATAAAACTAGAACAATACCTGGAACTAGGCTCTGTCCTCATAAAACTAGAACAATAGCTGGAACTATAGCATGTATGATCAAAACAATACCTAACAAGTATAGAGAAAACACAACGTTATTTATTCGTATAAATGTTTAGGATGTGTGTGGTACCTCAGTCTAGGGATCGAAGCAGAAAAAAAATTAAATCGATTTATTTTCGAACTTGCTTTAAAACCCATAAATACCCAATACAAACAGATGTGTTAAAAAATTGCAAGGTAGTCATATCCGAGGAGTTATCGAATGTACTTTTCTTGAAACAAAATATTTAGCAACGCACAACTTCTTTAGAAGTTTTTTTTTCACAAATAGGCTAACATCACTTAATTAGAATCCATTCAATTTTGTTAAATTGGTCATTTACACCATGTAGCAATATGTTTCAAACACAACAATACATCAACGCCAAAATGTTACCCATCGAAACAACACCCACAACAAACAGCAAACAGCTAAATTTACCTGTTCATCAAGTGTGACTGAAGATCTTATTCCTCACCGATTAAAACTTGTACACTTTAAAAAACCGTTATCCATAGATTTGACAAACTAGATCGGTAGCGATCATTCACACGGACGGAGTACACCCTATCTACTTTCTAATGAACCTGACCTAAAATTGTGTTGGATTGAACTTGCGAATGTGCAAGGCCGTCGGTGAATGAATTATCATGTCATACAGTACCAATTGAAATGGTAAACCCACTTGGTCACGAATTAATACACATCCTGGAAGCTATGCTTGGATTTATTTTTTCTTCTGACTTCTAGCGGGCGATACAAAATGATTTTGGGTCGCCCGCTAGAAGTTTTTACATTTAAATTGCATTTTGAATTTATACTTTTCTTAAATTTTCTAGGAACCCATTAGGCATACAACAACGTTTCGATATACTAAATTATTTATTCTTTTAATCGGTGCACCGAAACTCCCCCGCATACTATCTCGACCAAAAGGGTTCGCTAATCCCCCAACCGAAACTCCCCCGCGAGGATGGCATGTACCTGAGCCCACCAGGTTTGTCATACTGCGTAATGACTCAGGGATGCCACCCTCCAACCCCCCCCCCCCTCCTAGCACCAATGATGCAAGGAACTACATAAATAATTGTGAACTACAAAATACTTTGCCCCAATAAATATAAATAATAAAAATAATTTCAGTTTTGCTTAGGTTTTCTAACCGAGTAGTACTATGTGATTCTGTGCGATTGTTTTTTTTGCTTAGTAAAGTAGTTCGTTCAGTTAAGACGAACCTAACCTTAACTTTATAACCTATGCAACAGGTTATTTGTGAGCAAGGGCAAGTAAACTTGGTGAAAGACAATTATGTTTTTTGTTCTTAAGGGGTTTTGAAGAGTGAAGAAGAAAAGTGACGTTGTAGCGAAAATAATTGTAAGGTAAAGCTATATACCTTGGCTTCTGGGAAACTCTTTTCCCGAGAAAAAGGACAACATAGTCATGTTGCTAGAGGTAATTGTTTTTCATTTAATATGCTCAGAAACAGAAATTATGAACCAACAATTAAGTACCAGTTGGTGCATCAAAACTCAAGAAAAACTTAATACAATTTTTAAAACAAGTTACAATGTTTTAAGAAGTTAAATAGCTTGTTGTAATGGGTATCAAAGAACCTTGTATTAATTAAGAGAGGTGTCTTTCTTAAAATCCGGTAGTTCTAAATTTTTGTAGACTTGTTTGGGATATCGGCCCAATTAATAATCCAGGTTTGTGACCGCGTGCGACGACTGTAACCTTATCGTAAGTCAAACAATCACAAAAATTACGACTTGCTGTAATTCTTTGATGAGTTATTTTGAAGACTTTGTTTCATTCTATGTAGGCCTAAAATGTTTCTTGTTAAAAAAATATTTTTAGTATATGTTGTCATCTCAAGTTCTCAACGGGACACAAAGGTTGTTTTGGTCTTAATTATTCACAAAACCGTTTACACTATCTTTACCCGTGGCCTACTCCAATGCCGCGGAGTGTAAAAAGAGTGTAAAACAATTTGAACAAACATCAAAACAACAATAATTGTCTATTGTTTTTCAGCAAAATCTAATTCTAATTACTATTCAAAACTATTATAAATAATTAAATTAAATTAATTATAATTAATTACAAATAATTACAATTACATTTTTGTAAAGTCTCGAAAATGAAATTAAATTTGTAAATAAAATCCTCTATTGAGTATACCAATCCTGCTGGTTTCCAACCTTAATGTTATGATTGTCACTTTACATGTTCTTTTGAGGTAATTTTAGCGTGTGTTCCTTAAAGGACCGCACAATGGAAAATAATTTATAAATAAAAAACTTTTTTAAAACAAAACGTTTTCAAACGCACTAAAAAGTGAAAAATAATTTATAACTATGTGAAGAGTATTAATACTTGTATGATTTAAAACGAAAAACGTTTTTCGTTTGAAATCTTACAAGTATTTATACTCTCCAAATATTTATAAATTATTTTCTACCTTTTAGTTTTTAATTTGTATGGATGTTAAATCTATTTCAATCATCTATATAAGATTAAGACAGAGGCATGTGGGAAATCTAAGGTTTATTTGAGTTTATTTTCATATAATCATGTATTAGATTGAATGTATGGCTTACCTACTAACTATAAATATATCAATCTATTTAATTTATTGTTTACTTTATAGAATACTAAATACATAACAAATGACGTTATTAAAAAACACCTTTACATCTGCAATCAGATTGTTTATCTTTATTTTGAATTGTTTGTTTGTATAAAGAATCTCTTGGGAGCAAAACCTGTACCTCTTAACCTCTGCTCTTCGAACCGTCAAATTGAAGTGTTTACAGCTGACTTAAATTAATTGATATATTTACATTCTTTCAAAATGTAAACATGGAAAATTTGGAAGCCCATGGGGCGTAGCACAAGGGAAATATGAAAATTAAACTAGCTGTTGTACCCGTGCTTTGCAACGGGAAGAGGACACAAAATAGAAACATTTTAATCTTTACATATGTTGCATATAGTAGTTACACATCCACCAACGCTTTTAGAAACAAAATTCAACTCTTAGTTTTTGCACCTATTAGTAACACACATACAGACAGACACCATTAGATTTTTATATAATAGTATTGATGATGATATAATATTGCATTGTCATCCATTTGTGAGCTATGTTTCAAGTCTCTAGCTCATCGGGAACTTAGTGTAAAATTGATTGCAAAATTTGTACCGGACAAGAAAGCGAGCTAATGAAAACGTTTCAATAAAAAGTGGTCCTAGCCTTATGTCTTATACCATGGTAATAACATCTTCCCATGTGTTCATTTTAAATCAACACACATAAACGGAGAAATAAATTTGTAAAAATATTATGTACATTATTTTAACTTGAATTTTCTAGTCTACTGTTGACCTTGTAATAAAATTTCAAACTTGAGTATCTATACTTTTTGACTCGATAGTAGGTACTCTCTCTCCTTAGTGATGTATGAAGGGTTTTAAGAGAATCTCCGCGTTCTACAATGACAACGAAAACTCTCTACCCGTCATTGTCTCCCCTTAGATTCCAGGAAGGACAGCGGGGGAGTATCGGTGCGCCGCTGGGGCGGGATTATGGGTCGCGGGGGAGTTTCGGTGTCTACCTGGATTTTGCGGGGGAGTTTCGGTGCGCCCCTTTTAATCTCTACATTGTTAAAGGTTGAAAATGGGAAAAACCTAATACTACTCCATAACCCCCCCCCCCCAAAAAAAAAAAAAAATAAACCCCCATACCCATAGTTCAATTATGCTTGTTCTCGAATCCGTTCGAATAAACGTAGGTTTACACGTTTGTAGCAAATTTCATCACAATCGGCTCAGTTTTACTCGAGTTATCGTGCTACCACATACATATGTAAATATATATATTTATATATATATATATATATTAAAACTGAGGATTTTTTGGCCTCTGGGGATCTCAACACGGAAAAGTAAATCGGTCCCTGGTCTAGATCTCACCATGATACCCACGGTAATAGTGTATTACCCTATATGGGAAATTCGATAGTAATTTCGACATATACGACAACAATGTATATAAAATTCCGCTACCACTATATAAGTGGATAATTAAACTGTCTAGCTTGAACATATCTTAAGTGGTTGGGACCTTTGTACAAATTACATACAGATAGATGGATCGGCACATGTTTTTGGTGTAAAATATGATCGCTTGGAAAACAAAGACACAAAGAGGGAGAGTGCAAAGAAGTTTCTGGACACCTTTTAGACATCGATATAAAAACTAGAAGGTAAAAAGTTGAACACCTTTATTTTCGATCTAACAATCAGTCTTTCGCGTGTTATATGTTTGTTTACTCAACATCTGTAAACATTGATAAGGTTCTAGCAAGACTGAGCGAAGTAAAAGTTAGGTATCCACTGCCTAAGTGTTTGGTCAAACATTGCACTAATAATAGTCTAATAATCAGATTATAACATTTAGTAGAAAGAGTTCTAATATACAAGCTAAGTTATCTTTTCCAGAGAGATACACATACTTTTGGCAAATTTACCGTATAGGAAATAAGCTATTACCGCAGGTCTCAAGGTAAGAATTGCACCCGGGACCGATTTACTTTTTTCGTTTTGATGTCTTCAGAGGCCAAAATCACTCTCCGTTAATATCGAAATGCATAAATACAAGTGTGTGTGTGTGTGCGTGTGTGGCCGTTAGCAAGATAACTCGAGCAAAAATCTTCTGATTTTGATTTAATTTTTGAAAAACATGTAAGTCTACATTTATTCAAATACGCGAAACAGCATGATCAGACTATGGAAACGGGGGTTTATGGTTTAAACAATGCTTTATGGGGTAAAATTAGTGTTTCTCATTTTTTACCTTAAAATCAGAAAATTTTGTATTTTCTCTCTAAACCGTTTTGTAGAGCTTAACACAAATAAGTTGAGTACATTGAAGTGTTGTTATACGCGTATTTGTTACGGGAATAAACAACTTTTAATTTAAAATTGCCTTGTTATTCGTATGAATAATAAATCAACTGTTGTAGTTAGCTTGTTTATGGATATATTTGGATCAAACTCGGCAAATGTGTTTATTTTGTAATTAGCTGACAAAATTTTATTTAAAATGACTTTATTATCTTCCCTGTAGCTGAAAACCTAAGTGCTCATTAAAACTAGTGTTATTTTAGTAGAAAATAAATATGACGTATTTAAGGAAATATTTTGGTAAAAATCCAACCTCGCAAAAGTAAATTCGCTTAATATGCAGGTTTTCTGCGGCGGAGGTTTTCTGTTTTACCTTATGCTTGTAGATATAGTTGTATGAACTAACTAAAAGATTAATACAGTATATCCTAAAAATATACAGCTTGTGTTACTCCATTAGTAAACAACATTTATGTATACCTGTTTACTTACGTACTCTTAAGAAAACCCCAGAAAAATATAATAAACTGCAATGTAATAACATTAATGAATTTTCATCAAAATAAAATAAAAATTAATACTTAATATTTATGTTGCAGTAAACAATACTTGTGTTTTTACACATTAAAATCGAACTGTTCAAAAGGGCAAAATTAGTGTTTAAAGTGTTAACTTAAAAATCTAAATGCAATAAA